CTGACGCCTGGCAGCCGCACTTCAAACGGCCTCCTGCTACCGCCACCTGCCACCGTCGTTACTAGCCGCAGAGACGGCTCCGACAAAAGGAGCAGTGGCGGTTCTGTCCGGCCAGAGGAAATAACTTCCGAACTGGCAGGAGCTCAAAGATAATCATGCCCGATCTGACAGAAGCCTGGAAGTGAGTGCGCGAGGTGGTTATAAAAGACTCCTACCCCCCATGAACAAGGTATGCTAACTTTTGCGCTATCTAGCTTATCTTGCCTTTGAAAGACTCTAACTTGAGCTTCAGAGCCCTTACACCGGGTTTTCCCCGGAGCTTCTTCACCCCCTCCGTTTCCGGTCCCCTGCCACTTAGTTCAGAGGCAAGATCGTTGACAGGTAAGATCGGCCGGATTGTACATCATCGGTACCAAACATAAACTTAAACTACTTATCATCGTAATCATCATCATCTTATTGGTGCATAAATAATATCTTATTACTTTTATCCATGCCCTTTTTTTTCACCCCTTTTCAAGGTTTAGATCTTTACAACTATTACATACTTTAATATTTGGATTTGGACACATCAATGTATTTCATTGCTTTCTTATTCTTATAATGCTATATAATGATCACCTTGTGTGAAGTACTGTTCTGACCTTTTTTTTTATATATTTTTTACACCCATTATGACGTTTATTGTAAATTTAGGTTAGCTTGTTTGATCGATCCTGTTTTGAATTTTTTGGTAATGGATTTTTTTGATACGTAGGTTTCATATTTAGTTCTTTTTTGGTATTTGGGAAACACGCCAATCCCTCCATAGGGGCCATTGAGTAGCGCTACCCCCTCAGCTAACATGCCAACTGAGCCACCCCTCAGTTGGAGGTTTTGTATTTAATTTAAGAGATTAGGTTTTATTAGTAATTTATGTTACCAACTTGTCTAGAAAAATGGGGCGCACACCATTTATTATTTCAATTTGAGATTCACCACTTATGCTTCTGTGGTAATTTTGATTTGGAGTTTTATTTAATTTGGTAAATTAAATCAAGTTTAATTTGTAATTGATGGCCTATTTCATTTAAACTAATGGGCAATTTTAAGGCAACCCCTCCTCTCCCTCCCAAATGGAAAGAAATGGAAATTCTGCCCCCTAACATCTAAGTGAGTTCTATTACTTCGATCTCAGGTTGGAACTTGGAACTTGATTGCAAGGTTTAAAATATCGATATGTCTAATACATTGGTAGGAGTGTATCGGGTTATATTAGTATTGTTTTTTTTTTACTTTTTTTTTTAAAATTTTTTTTTTCAAAGCCAGTTCAGGGAGGGCGGGGTAGTTTAAGGCTCCTCCACCCCCTGAACTGATCAAAACCCCGATACATCCTTTATAAGGGCATTTCGGAAAGCTCCCAAAATGATACATATCGACTAATAAGGGCCGATGCCCGTCAATACTTTGAACCTTGCTTGAGTGGGATTATCCAAGTGATCAAGGTCCTTCCCAATTTCCTAGACAGTAGACATTCACGTAAGCCCTAGTTTTTAAAGGAATCTTGTAATCTCCAATTGTGTAATATTTAGTCTATTCTCTTGGAATTAAAGATGCAACAGGGTGTAGCTTCAATGTTTTCTTCACAATTGCTCAGAGGTATTGGGAGATTAGGAATATTGGGTGATTGTTCCACCATTCTACTTTTTCCAACAATAAAATCAACTTCTTCTCATGCTTTTTCAAACACTGATGGTGATGGGTGAGTGATGAGCTCCGCCAATATTGCTCATTCTTTTTGTAATTGCAGTTGTCAGTCGGTCCCCGCTACAAACATCTCTATTTAGAACTTAGAAGTTCAAAATAAGAAAATATTGTCATGGCATAACTAACTACTTTCATCTTCCTTTTAAAGATATAATTAGTTTCATCTTATGATATGCACCGATATACTGATATTTTAAATTTTGAATATACTATCCCATAAATACAAGGTGGCTATCTATAGGTGTGTTATTTGGACCAAATCCAATCTGGTCCAATATGAGTCCAGTAAAGATGAACCAGGTCCAATCCAATCTGATGAATACTCTGGATCATTTTGGATTAGTCCAATTCAATGTCTGGATCATCCATTTTGTTCAAATTGATTTTAATTTAGATTGGTTTCAAACCAAAACTGGTGCATTGACACTTATCTTTTATCAATGGACCGGATATTGGTTCAATCAGAGCCAATCCATTATATGTCCATTATGAGTATACCAGGTCCCATCCAATCCAATAAATACTTTGGACCATTAAGTCTATACTAGCCTAATTCAATATGTTTTATTGGTCCGTCTAATCTGTGCAAATTGATTTCAAGTTACACGGGTCTAACCCAAAACCGATGCATTGATACCCCTAGTTATTTGTACCTTTTTTTTCTAGAATTGGATAATATTGGATCCATTTACAGCAAATTAAAGATAAAATAGAGCTAGGATGGTAGCTAGTTTACCCCTTCCAAGACCAATTAACCTAGGCCCGAACTCAAGGTTTAAGACTTTGGATTAGGCTTGGATTGATTCTCATCCTGACCCTACCCACCCAAGTTGTATGCACTGTGACATTTGTAATTGGACTGAAGAAATTAAAGTGAGTGCAGCCCATGCATGCATTATTTTTGGTTTTTTTTTAAACTATTTTTAGATAATATTGAAATCAAAAGAGCTATGAGGAATGGATTTCCCCCATTGCGTAACCCCAATGAACCCAACAAATAAAAGATATTGGGCAAAATTTTGATAGTGTATTAATAATTTTTAAGGTTGCCTGGCGTAGAGTGACCCACATCTAAGTGTAATAATATTTGTTTGGGCCTAGGACATGGACAGGCTTGCCCATATTAATTATAAAGCTATGATTTTTTTTTTTACAAATTAAAATTTGTATTTAATTATATAATACTTTTTATATAAATATTATATAAAAATATTTATCATATATGCATATAAACTTCCAAGTTGAGATTAAGGGTTGCTTAGCTTGGGCCTTATCCATTAGGAGTATCATTGGACCCCAAAAGTTAGCTTGGGCCCTAACATTCCAGATTTGGATGTTGGGACTAGCATCTAATTAATAATTCGATTGGATATGGATTTAACCTTATCCAATTTGATTAAAATTCATGTATAATAAAAGAATATTATTACATATATGCAATATAATTATGTATATATATGTAGATATTATGTATAGTTATATAAAGTTTACAATTAATAAATTTAATATTTTATACTTATATGCATTTATTATACATATATACTTTAAAATTCAAAATCCAACATAATAATAATTAGAAATTTCATAATCGGACGTTAATGCGGATGTAGCTGGATATGATTTACCCTGGACTCAAAAGAAAATAGTTACTTGAGCCTGAAAATTTATAGGTCCAACCGGGTTGGGCTAGGTTATAATGATTTGTTACTTATTATTATTATTATTATTATTATTATTATTATGTGTTAAAATGTGTTGTATCGTGTATAACACGTTACAGGTTTCCAAACAAACCATAACCATTTTTTTGAAAATGGGTCAACACAAACCCATTTAGCTAATTTTCTTCATGACAGTGATAAAATGGATTTTACATTTTATTAATTTTTATTTTAAAATTTTATATCTTTTTTAATGAGTCCTCGGTTTTATATAAATCTCTTATGTAGTATGTGCACCATGCACAGTAAAGGTCTTAACTCATAAAACTTGTTAATTAATTTAAAATGCATTATTGCAAAGTTATCTAATAAAATGAAATGGACAAACAGAATAAAATACAATATTAGAAAATGGGTTTTATGTAATAATAAGATGCATTGAAATAAGAGGACTCGGAAAACCCCAAGGTCTCTTTACAGATTTATTGATCCAATCAAAATTTACAAGAATTACTTATTTTTTATATTTTTAAAATAAAAAAAATACAAAAAAAAGAGAAAATAGATAAATAACTTTCCTAGAGAGTAGAGAGGCATGACATGACATGACATGGGATGCCTTGTTTTATTATATAGATATAGATGTTTAATTTTTGGACGGCAGACATGGTATTAAATCAGGTTAATGGTAATGGATTTAGGCGGGGTACAGGGACACAGATCAAATGATGGGCTCTTGGGAGAGTAAGAGATGCGCTCTCTTCCATGTCTACTTTTGCATGCTTTCCATCCCCAACTTTCCACTCGAAACACTGAATCATGCTTGCCAGACCCATTTGCACCGTTTGTAAGCCAAGAGTGAGTCCAGGGCATATCCTCCTTCCGCTTCCAAAAGGCAGGAATTGGTAGTGCTGTCCCCTAACATCTATTTGGCTTGATTTGTTTTTGCCATCTTCAATCATCATAAATCGTTCTGGTTGAAATTGGAGTGGGTTGTCCCAGTACTTAGGGTCTCTCCCAATCGCCCACACATTGACTAAAGTCCTGGCATTTCCAGGAATGTCATAGCCCAAGAGTTTGCAATCTCTAGTCGATGCTCTTAGAACTAATGGGGCACCCGGGTGCAGCCTCAATGTTTCCTTCACAATTGCTTGGAGGTAAGGAAGATTAGGGATGTCTGATTCTTCCACCAATCTACTCTTTCCAACCACCAAGTCCATCTCTTCTCTTGCTTTCTCTAACACGGATGGGTTGTTTATGAGCTCTGACATTGCCCATTCAATTGTCACTGCAGATGTATCAGTCCCCGCTAAAAATAAGTCCTGTAAAAAATATCAAAAGAAATTAACAGAAAGAATGACATATATAATGTATTAATTTTTCATGTTCATTTGTATATTTCTTCTCATTAAATATGCTTCGCTATTCAGAAGCTAGTGCAATTGAAAGATCGCTCATTTTTATCAGGAATTCACTACAACTGTTTGTTTCAAAATTAAATTTCTGCTATATATATATGTGTGTGTTTTTACTGAAGTTAAAAGCTTATTTTATGGATTTTGATTTTTATCATTTTTTTTAATTTTTATAATCTTTTTAAATGGAATTTAAATTAAAAAATCAATGGAATTTTAAATATTAATGCATCTTTTATTAATGTAATCATTTTTAAATAGAATTTAACTGGACATCAAATTATAGTTAAACTTGATTTTAAATTTAAATTTTATTAATTATAAACTTTTATTTTGGAATATAAATTTTAATATGTTTAGTGTTAATTGTAAATTGAATTCTAAATTAAAAGCTTATTTAATTATATTAGTTAATGTATAACAGTTTTTTTAAATAATTTAAATTGATATGAAATGTATTTTAATTTTTGTCAATTAGTTTTAATTTTTTTCATTTATATAATCTTTTTAAATTAATATTAAATTAAAAGTAAATGGATTTTTAAAATTTAATTTCCTTAATTATACATTTTTCTTATAAAAATAAACAATTTTAAATTATAATTGTCTCATTATTTTATTTTTATTAATGCTTGAAAAATTTAAAAACTTAAAAGTTATTATTACTAATTATTTATAATATTATTGTATTTTACTATATCAATTATTCTTATGAAAAACTTAAATGTTAGTAATCAATTTAATTTTTTAATGTAATTATTTTAGCATTAAATTTTAGTTTTATTGATTAATTTTAATTATTTAATTATATTTATTAACTTTTAATTATTACATACTATTTACTAGTGACTTAATAAAAACTATACAAATATAACTTCTATATATGGATTTTAATTATTTAATTTTAATTTTAATTATATTTCTGAATTTGCAACTATTTAATATTTTTACTAGTAATTTAATAAAAATTATATAAATATAATTTCTAAAAGGGATATTCATTCAATTGGTTAGATCTCAAAAAGTTACCTAAAATAAAATAAAAGATCATCTCAATTGCACACTTGAGTGCAAAGTTATGTGCTCTAGCAGTTTGTATTTATATGCCAGAAAATTTTCAAAAAGCCAGCCAGATTTATAAAATGGACTACTTCACCAATTTTCCAATTTTACTAGCTAGGTTGATGTTTTTAACCAATTTTTTACCCAATTCAATTTTGGGGGTATGACCAAACTGGCTAGGGCCTGATCATGATTCAATTGGTCTAACTAGCCGATCTAGTCCAATTTTCTGAACTCTGATTACAAATTCAACTAATGTCTTCATACCTTTAACTTGCAAACAGAGATTATTAGACTATTGGCCGAAGTTTTATAATGGTTTGGAATTCTTACATTTTTAGAGTTTCACCATTGTTCTAGTAATTTACTAAATGCTAAACAAAATACAATACGAGGACACTAGTTAAAGGGTTGGAACACAAAGATAGGATTAGGGATGATCATTTTGACCCAATCTAAGCCAAGCAAACCCTTAGGCTATGTTTGGTTTGAAGGAAAAGATAGGGAAAGGAAGGGAATTTGTAAAGGTTTCCCTACCTTTCCCTACTTTTTCCTTCAAACCAAACACAACCTTAAGTAGGTCAATGGTTCAACCACTTGAGTCAAATGGGTTTTGTTTAAATCAACAATTTTTAAGCTAATGGTGACTTTGAGGTTAACCTATACTAGAATTAAGGTTGAGCCACCATTTTATCGATTCACTAATCAGGTCAAGGATGGTTTGCAATACAATGCATACATACATATATACATGCATACATACATGCATATGTGCATATATACATATTCATATGCATATATGTATGTGTATCGCCTATGCATGTATATGAATATGTATGTATGTATGTATGTATGCATGGGCATAGGCCATTAGAGTCAAGACAACATAAAGGCTACTAATAGTCTATAATAAGTAGGCCTGTCAATAATACCCAAAAATCTGAGGTTCAACCTGACATTCAATACGATTATCTCAGATTCAAATGATGTATTTATGTAATTGGATCGGGTTTGGATTTGACTCCATCCAATCAGATTAAAATCGTAGGTAGGACTTAAATGAATTTTTACTAAAACTTTTTTTCTTAAATTGTCTAGATGTATAAGCTATTTCCCATTGTTTGAATAACTAATTTAATTTTCTACAACTCAAATGTATAGCTCATTAAATCATTTTAAACAAAATTACTTTTAAACAATGATTGTAAGAAAATGTCATTAAAAATATATTGTGATTTTAATTTGTAAAAAACATTCAATTGTGAATAACAAATATTCAATTATTTGTCATTGTAAATAACTTTTTTTTTTGTGACCGACGTTAAATTATTCATCACTATAAATCAACTTCTGTGATTTTATGACATACACTTAATTGTCCATCACTATAACTAATCATTTAGTGACGATGATTCAATAGTCCATCACTATAACTCAACATTTAGTGGTGATGGCTTGATTGTCCATCACTATAATTCAACAATTAGTGTTGATGATTAAATTTTCCATGATTTTTTTTTTTTTTTTTTGTAATGGATGATAACTATCCATCACTATATATAAAGTTTTTGTGATTTTGTGATGGACAAAAACTTGTTCGACACTATAAATTACATTTTAATAACAGAGCTTTAATTATCGGTTGCTATAGACATTTTATAGTGGCTAAGAATCACTCCATCACTTTGCCGTCACTAAATATTGTATTTCTAGTAACAAAACTTTAAATCCGTCATTATAAATTATTTATAATAACGTACATCATTATACATCCGTCACTAAATCCTAATTTTCTTATAACGTAGCTTGCTTTAATATTTTTATAAGGGTAGGGTGAATGTATTCAAAGGGATAGGTGTAAACAAATTTTCAAGTGGTGCCTACCTGATAGGGCTGTTCATAAGAATGTCCAACCCGATCAAACTGACCAATTCAGACCGACCCAACCCGAGTCAGCCGGGTTTTCATCAGTACCGGTCGGTTTCAGGTTGACAAAGTTGTGATGATGAGACAATATTTTCTACGAGAAAGGTGGTAGACAGTGTATTCTTCATCAATCTAAATCTAAATTATTGGGTTTTGAACTCTGATTTAGAAAAGTTTTGAACAACAAAATTCGCCGCAGTGAATGTCAGTTCTTTCAAAATGGTCTTCGTGTAGATTGGCTTGAATTGATGCAAGATCCATTCCATACCTTACACCTTTGGATGGAATAATCTATATCATTTGGCCTTCCACTTTTTTACGGCGGACGATTTTTGAATGTTAAATGAGGTGGCTTAAACATCCACCGTGAAAAATTGTATAAGTTGACATTATACAATCAATTTTAACTTTTAATATTTATAGGTATTTATATCCAGGGATATCTTTGGAAAAACACAAACAGATCAAATTGTCTTACCAGAAGGAAGGCCTTGACGTTGCTTTTGGTTAATCTAACCTCAGCTTCCTCGTCTTCACATATATCAAGTAATAAATCAAGTAGAGTCTTTACGCCATGATTATTACCTCCATCACTAGTACTACCCATCTTCTTCTTCTGGCTCCGAGCCTCCTCATGCTCCATGATGATCTTGTCTATGATATTGTCGAACCTCCGACGTGTGTCTTTCATCCTCCGTCCAAAACCTTGTAAATCCAGATGCCTGCAAATGCCAATGTAATCCGACAAGTTAAACGTACCGGCAAGCTCTGTTGCTTCTTGCGCCACCATTATAACTTGCTCAGCCTGATCTTCTGTTTCAGAGCATCTGGTGTTCATCATCATTCTTGTAATTGTATTATTTGTTAGTCTCATGACTTGTTGGCGAACATTGATGGCCTTACCAAGGAGGGACATGTTGAATATAGATTTTAAGAAGCGCCTTAGCTCTTCCTTTCTCATTGGAACGAATTGGTTGAGAATCTGTCCATTTAGGAGCTCCGTCATGCATAGCTTTTTCATGAATCTCCAGTAGGGTCCATATGGAGCAAAGATGAAGTCGGCACTGTCATACGTCAAGTAGTTTACAGCAAGAGACATGGGTCGAGAAGTGAAGTCAAGCTCCTGGGATTTGAGCACTTCTTTTGCTACCTCAGGGGAGGAGACTATTATACAAGGGACGGAGCCGAGGAGAATATGAATCAAAGGACCATAGCGGTTGGAGAGCTTTTGGAAACTTTGGTGAGGGATTGAACTCATGAGATGTAGGTGTCCGATGATAGGTAAAGCTAATGGGCCTGGTGGAAGACGAACTTTGTGTTTGTTTCTTGTCCTGAACAAGTAGATGGATATGGATGTAAGCACTAGTGTGGTGATGAGGTATACAAGGAATTCCATGGCATAGCCATCAATGACAGCCATGGTTGAAAGGCAACAAACAATGAATTAATGCTGGTAATTGCTATATTATTAGCCGGCCGGCCTCCTCTCCCTCTCCCCCTTTTATGGATGCTACTTCAGCAACTTTTCTGGTGATCTAAATGTCCCTCTCACACCATAAAATCCAGTCCCTGATGTCAGTATGTCACCCTTTTCCATGGAAAAATTTTGCTAATTTGCATAATATTGAATGGGGTGGTTTTTTTTTTTTTATTTATTTTTTGACAAAACAAAATGAGGTGGCTTAAACATTCCGTGAATCCCCCTTAATGGTGTTAATTCATATCTGCTAAAACTGCATTGCTCCAAATTGATGTGATGTTTTCGAGAATTTGCTCCTCACAATCACAGAGGGTGCCTCACACCAATCTCACAGCACTTGGTGCAATGCATGACTACAGCGTGCTGTGAGGTGTGTTCTGTGAGCAACAGATCCAAATTCTTTTATTTCACTTGGTAGTTGGTATTTGCCCAGGCAGAGCCACAACATAAATCATGTTGGAAGTCAGTTGGAATGGGTTTTGTTGGAATCAGAAACCAATTCACTAAATAGATTCAAGTCTGACTTTAATAAATTTGACTTTTCATGTAAGGAGGAATTGGAATTTTCTTTTGAAAATATGAATAAAAAATTTGTGAAAGAAAAGTTCAATCACTAACTGTGAAAAAGCACTCAAATGTGCTATCACCTTTTTCTTTTTTCACTATTGAGCTCGGCTCACTTCAAAGCTTGCAAGTTTCAGTTTTTCGGTTCGAGCTCAACTACAAGCCAAATTTTTCCTAAAAATAAAAATTATATATATAAAAATATTTGTATTTTATATACAATAAAATAAGAATTATTTATTATTAAATATATATAATAAAAATTACTTACTATTATACATAAAAAATAAAAATATTATTATATATTAAAAAATATTTATTTTATATATTTATATATATATATATATATAATAAATATTTATTTATTTATTATACTAGACTCGCGAGACTTTTCTAACGGACCGAAAACAGTTCACCGATGACTTTTCTCCAGTCTTGTCCCTGGTCAATCCSTTATGCAATATTCAAGGAGATTAACTCATAGACATTTTCTCTTATTAAAAAACTAACCGAGACCCATGCGATATACTTGACTTATCAAAAAAACGTAAAATAACCAAAACTTATTGAAAAAGGAGATTAACTCATAGACGTTTTCTCTTATTGAAAAATTATTTTCAGCCCACG